GTTGGAAGGGGTCTCCGGGCAAGGGCCGGGGGAGGAGTGACTCTGCTCCACGCACGTATCCGAGGTGGAGAGGTCCCTGGGGATGATCATGGGGATGGAGTACTGCAGCTTCTCCCGGCTCTTGTACCACAGGCACGAGCACATGGATTGGAAGTGGAGAACCTCGGCGTAGACGTTCCGAAATCCTCCTCCCCCACCTCCCGACGTGGCCCCCGCTGGCACGGTCGAGGAGGGGTCTGGGGCACGGAGGGGACCAGCTTGGCCGTTGCGGGTGAGCAGAGCCCTGTGCTCGGCGTCCCGCTTCTCGTCCTCGGCGTTCATGGTCATGAACCTCAACACCACCAAGTTGAGGAAAGCCCCGATGACCGTCAGCCCCGTCAGGATGTAGACGAAGCTGAAGGCCACGTACTGGGGGTTGTTCTGGAGGGCTTCGTCCTTCTGCAGGGCCACGTAGTCCCCGAAACCGATGGTGGTGAGGGTGATGAAGCAGTAGTAGTAGGCGTGGAAGAAGCTCCAGTGCTCGTAGTAGGAGAAGGCGGCTGCCCCGATGCAGAGGGTGCTGATGCAGGAGAAGAACCCGATGGTGACCATGTTGGCCATGGAGACCTCCGCCCGTCTCAGGCCAAGGCACTTCTTGATGCGGTGGAGGAGGTACCTGACGAAGGTGTTGATCCTCTCCCCCAAGCTCTGGAACATGACGAGGGTGAGGGGGATCCCCAGCAGGGCGTAGACCATGCAGAAGACCTTCCCCCCGTCCGTGCTGGGGGCCGCGTGGCCGTACCCTGGGGAGCAAAGCCACCAAGAGGCATCAGATTGGTGGTCCTAAGGGGGTGCAGCACCTCCAAACGCTTCCCCGACAGAGTCACGGGTGGTGGACCCCAACCCTGACCTCAGCCCCGGGCACAAGGAGTGGCCACGGGGGGCTCTGGGGGTCGGAGGGGTGGTGGTGTCTCCAAATGGGAATGAAGGGGAGGGAGCTGGGGAAAGGAGAAGCCTTCAGCTCGTGAGGAAAGGAGCTGGGGGGCTGGGGGAGGGTTATGGACGAGCTGCTGAGTCTCTGGGTTGGGGTGGGGGCGGTTGGGGGATGCTGGGATGGACCTTGGCTGGGGTGGGAGGACATCCCCCAGCCTTGGGGGTTTGGAAGTTGGAGATGGACCCTCCCTGCGATACCCGTCCCAGGATGGACCCTCCTGGAGCAGCCGAGTGGAGCCGAGCAGGAGATGGGGAAAACTGGGAATTCTAGGGGCTGAAGAGACAAGGGTGGGTGGGTCTCTTCTGCCACTCCAGCCCCGTGTCCCCATGTCCCCCTGCCCCACTGCCTGACATCCACGGGCTGCCGTGGGACCTGTGGGAAGGTCCATCCAGACCCTTCCCCTTCCCCTTCCTCTTCCATTTCCTTTCTCTTTTTTCCTTTCCCTTTCACTTTATTTTTCCTTTTCCTTTATTTTTCCTTTTCCTTTTCCTTTTCACTTTCCCCTTCCATTTCCTCTTCTCCCTTTCCCTTTCCCTTTCCTTTTCCCTTTCACTTTCCCTCTCCCGCTCCCTTTCCCTTTCCCTTTCCATCTCCCTTTCCCTTTCCCTTTCCCTTTCCCTTCTTCCTCCTCCCTTTCCCCCTTCCCAACACCACACACCCTGGCCAAGCGCCGTGCCAAGAGCTGCCCAGAGCCAGCAGAGAGGAGCCCCAGGGGCAGGCAGGAGCCGTGGGCAGGCAGGCGAGGC